AATTGAATTTAATTGAATAGTTGATGAATTAAAAGTTGACTTTTTTTTTTAAGATAAATTTAGGATGAAAAGATAAAATAAATGCACCCTTAACATGTATTGTGCCCTTTTATTATAAATATATATTAAAAAATGTAAAAATAGATATTAATTTTAATGTCAATTGAATTTAATTAAATAGTTGATGAATTAAAGATTGAATTTTATTTTTTTAAGATAAATTTATGATGAAAAGGTAAATAAATGCACCCTTAACATGTGTCCTAAGACAAACCCATTTTGCAATCATTTCATTACAAGAAAAAAAGATTTTTAATGACAAAATGTTGTGATAAATTTTGAAATTTTCACTATAATTGTGATAAATTTTAAAAATTAGTCACAAATACACACATGTTTAATGATGATAAAAAAATTTATCACTAAAAAGATATTTCATCACTGTCACAAGGTCACAAAAAAATATAACTTTTAATGAAAAATTCATCATTATAACTTATCATAATTGTGACACATTTTAAGTATTGGTCACAAATGACTACATGTTCAATAATGATGAAATAAATCATCTCTAAAAAGATGGTCACATATAAAATATAGGTTTCTGATTATGAAAGTTATTACTATAACTCATCATAATTGTGATAGATTTTAAATATTAATAATAAATTTCACCCATATTATATTTTAATAATTAATTTTTTTTGAAATTTATATTTTAAGCATATAATTATTTTTTGAAGAAAAGACTTGATTGCATAATAACTTAAGTTTAAGGACTTAAAATATTTTAAAAGTTTAATTACAAGAAAAATTAAAATCCTTAGAAAAAATTGAATAACTTAAAAGTTTTTGGATCAAAGTACTCATAAAGTAAAAGAGTAAGGACTCCATTTACTAGTTTATCGGTGAAGAAATTGCATAGTGGATTGTAAAACTCGACATAGGTTAGGTGTCGATACCTTGCGTTAGGAATTTGTGGAAATTTGAAGTAGAAGTAACGCCACCTGCTTTTTATATTTCGTATAATATATGTCAATATTATTTTTTTAAAACAAAATATTACTCCAATTTAATTATAACTAGATAACGTCAATTTTTTATATTTGATTTATTAAATTTAACAAAATTTACAAATAAAATAAAATGGAGTGAAAGGTTTTTGATGATGCCAATTGTAAAATTATTAAATTCAAATAAATCATTTCCTAATAGGGTGGGGGGTTTTCCGTAGAAGAATGTTTAAAATTTAAATTTAGTTTAACTTTGTTAAAAAAGATAATGTTAATTTTATATATTAAAATAATTAAATTTAATATAATGTATCCACACAATATATATTTATAATTTCAATTTACTCTTTTTTTGATATATTTAATTTATCATTT